GCTGCTTTTTCAAAAGAGGCTTGCAGTCTAGACGTAGCCTAATGGACAGCAGGTTTCTCACCTCTGACAGAGGTGCACTGGAGTAAGTGGGAGTCTTTCTATTGAATTCATGGACTGTATATCACACTTGTAATCTCTGTTCTAACCATTAGACTACATGAGTGCTCCTTGTCTTGTTGGTTTTTCTGCCCTTTTCATGCTCTTAAAATATTTTTCATGTATGATCTAAACTAGGGATATCAACATGTGACTACACGATTAACCAATAAGCCTTACATGCTCCTCCTCCTCCCCTGTGTCTGAGACGGGGGAGTGGGAGCCAGTGCCAGTGGGGATCCCCTGAGCACCAGACACCATAGAGCTGCCTGCCCCCCATCCCTCCTCCACATGGCTGCCTCTGATAGAAAGGGCAGCAGTGCAGAGGATAAGGGGGGCAGGTACGAGCCGGTACATGTGGGAAGCCAGATTTCAAGCTGACTTCCTGCATGTATCAGCACCCATGGAGCCACTTGCCTCCTCGCACTGCTGCCTCTCTAAAAGGAATCAGCGCAGGGTGGGGTGGCAGGCTTTTAAACAGGCTCTCCACACATGCGAGCCCATGAGCCCCGGAGCTGCCTGTCCCCCAGTTCCCTCCCCTCTCTGATGCACTGCTGTTTCAATAAATGATGTATGCCTTATTCTGCTTAATTTGTGCCAAGTGGGAATCTACAACAATGGCTTTACTTTGGCCAGGTTGACAAAAAGGTTGCCATTTAGGCCAAGTTAATAATATTATTTGAGATGTAAAATGAGAAGGAATGAATGGTAGAACATTCATGCTGTGCTCCTGGACTTGCTTAGTAATTGGATTCAAAATAAGTCTCTGAAATCACCCAAGCATGTGCAACTGGTGATGACCTTCAAAAATCAAGAGTTATCGTTATAAAGTACTTTTGAAGCAGGCTTTCTTGTTCTAGAGCCAAATGTCAAGTAATCTACAATGTCTACCAAGGACTTGAATAATGCATTCATATCTTCTAGTCTGAATTTCACAGTACTGTGGTTCAGTAAGGCGAGGAAATGCTTATTTTTAAAATACAGAATAGGTGTTAATTTAGTTGGAATAAAGTGAAAGCATCTCATTAAATCTTCATTCCTATTAAGAATTATAATTAATTGTAGGGAGCATATATTGAAAAGTTGGTAGTTCAGAGACTTTAAACTCAGGTACTGATTATTTTGCTGCAAGATTTCCTGTGATTCTCAAATCTGTTTTTAGCTCTCTCAATTTAGGCAGTTATGGTGAATCTTCGGACATACTTTCTCCCAGCGTTCTTTAGATGTGAAAGTTAAAAAGGCTGAGTTTACAAGTAGTAATCCCTTCTCTTGCTTCTCCTGTGATGGTTGTCATTTCTCTAGTGCTCTAGCAGGCAAGACCTGAATTACTAATGTTTAAAAAAAAATCAGACTATCTATTATATAATAATCTAACAAGCTTCAGATTACGTACATTAAAGAAGAAAAGAGAGTAAATCTTTTTTGTTTTTTTGGTAGGCAGGTCACTTTTAATGGAAGCATTGCAGGCTTAATTGTAGAGGATTTTGGGAACTGAATAGAACCTGATTGCCAAAACCCCCCCACAATTCACACTAACCGGTGTAGCAAATTGACCTGCCTGTGGCATTTTGAAGAAGTGAATATAATAGATTACGGTCTAAAATAAGGGGTAAATTTAACAGCAAATCACCTTTCTAATGTTGATTTAAATTAAGGCCATGTTTCCTTCAAACACTAGTGACAGCCTCAGCTGCCTCTGTTTTGCTGTATAGGGCTTTGCAGTTTCTTGTAAGAATTAGGTGTCCTATAGGAGTCTTGCCTTGCTACCTCAGATAGGTCCACATATGCTTTAGGCTTCTGGCTATCTGACAGTATTGTGAGTCACCCAAAATGCAGGGTAATGAAAGACGGCTTATTTTTCTGTTTGGTAAAAATGGTACTTCCAGCTAACTATATCTGTGGAAAAGATGTACGTAAAAACACCTTAATCTGGAAAGTGCTTGTAATCTAGATAGGCATGTAGGTATATAGAGATTTTTATATTATTTTAATGTTTAATTCTTCTATAGTCTTATTCTGAATTTGATTTCCGAGACATTTTCCAAAACATTCAGAAATGCCAAACACACACACACTTCAAGTGAAGAATGAGCGCTAGCATATGGAATGTATATTGAATGCATATATTTTGCCATTGTACTCACTTTGGTGCAAATAAAAAGCTAATTTCACATTTTTAATAAGGAAATTGCATGGGCAGTCTGTCTACACACCTTTTCTTTGCGGCCATCTGTATCAAATCTTAATGTTTTAGTCTCAGTTTTTGAGGGAAACACTGTGATTCCTGATATAGTGAATTTCCTGATAATGGCAAACAAGATAGTCTGAAGAAAATGGTTGTCATCTATCCTATGAATGCAAATATTTTCCAGTATTTCCCCAGAGACCTAACTGGTTCTTTCTTGACTGTTTTTCTTAGGCCCTAAGTGCTAAGACATCTTAATATATCAACATTCTAAAGTAGGGTCTGGGGGAGGACAAATGGGGGGGGGGGAATTAAGGAAAACTGAAGAGGCGGGAGTCTGCTAAAGCTGATCCAAAAATCTCTGCTCACTTCTCAGGAGAAGTTCCATTACATATCCATTTTGGTACCTATTTCCAATCTAAATCCCATTAAAGTTCTCCTCCTTTATGGGGTTTCCAACTCACCAGTTGAGAATTAATGTCATATTACATGCTAAATAATTTTGGTGTTCTGTGATTCAGTGACATTTATGGCTTGATGAATTACATATCAAGCTTTTTCTCTAAAACTGGAATTACTTGTTCTCAATTTTGCTCTACCTGTTGGAGGTAAAACTTAACTGCTTGATGCCAAGAACTAATGTAGAATACTTAGAAATTCAGATATTTAGCATTTAACCCTTGTTTCGCTCCAGTGAGTGCTATCTTGTAGTGAATAGAGCAGAACAAAGAATAGGAGAGTTTGCCCTGAGGATTGGAGGAATAGTACTTTCTTCCTTTCCTTAGGGATGTAAGAATGTAGCTGTTTGAATGGGTAACTGAAAAGCTTAAGCACACTGCTACATGTGGCTTTTGGGGAGAAGCCGGGGCATGCCAGCTCCCAGGGAGCCAGCTGCTGCCTCTGTATCAGAGGCAGCAGTGTGAGGCAGCAGCCAGTTCCCTGGGATGCGGGAGCCAGCTTTAAAGTTGACTCCCAGCAAGCCGGCTGCCTTTGCCATACTGCTGCCTCTAAAATAGAGGCAGCAGTGCAGGATGGCAGCCAGTGTGCGCCAGGAACTGACTGCCACCCCACATGTATGGATAATGTGATAAGTGTAAAGTAATGCTTATTGGAAAAAATAACCCAAACTATACATACAATATGATGTGGGCTAATTTAGCTACAGCTAATCAGGAAAGAGATCTTGGAGTTATCGTGGATAGTTCTCTGAAAACGTCCACGCAGTGGCAGTCAAAAAAGCAAATAGGGTGCTAGGAATTATTAAAAAAGGGGTAGAAAAGAAGACAAATATCTTACTGCCCTTATATAAAACTATAGCATGCCCACATCTTGAGTACTGTGTACAGATGTGGTCTCCTCACCTCAAAAAAGATATTTTGGCATTGGAAAAGGTTCAGAAAAAGAGCAACTAAAATGATTAAGGGTTTGGAATGGGTCCCATCTGAGGAGAGAGGCTAAAGAGACTGGAACTTTTCAGTTTAGAAAAGAGGAGACTGAGGGCGGATATGATAGAGGTATATAAAATAATGAGTGGTGTGGAGAGAGGGTGAATAAAGAAAAGTTATTTACTTGTTCCCATAATATAAGAACTAGAGGACACCAAATGAAATTAATGGGTAGCAGGTCTAAAACTAATAAAAGAAAGTTCTTCGCACATCGCACAGTCAGCCTGTGGAATTCCTTGCCAGAGGAGGCTGTGAAGGCTAGGACTATAACAGTTTAAAAAAGAGCTAGATATATTCATGAAGGTTAGGTCCATAAAAGGCTATTAGCCAGGGGATAAGGAATGGTGCCCTGGCCTCTGTTTGTCAAAGGCTGGAGAAGGATGGCAGGAGATAAATTGCCTGATCATTGTCTTCAGTCCACCCCCTCTGGGGCACCCGGCACTGGCCACTGTTGGCAGACAGGATACTGGGCTAGATGGACCTTTGGTCTGCCCCAGTATGGCCATTCTTATGTAGTAGCCATGTAATCGCTAAAATGTTCAGTGGTTACATACACAGTTATGGTGCGTCTATACCGCACACTAAACTCAAAATAAAATATTTTACAGATTGTAGCACTTAGAGCAGTGGGGCTTGTAAGATGTCTAGAATCTCACTCCATAGCTTAATACAGCAGTTCTTATACTGTGGGTTGGGACCCTAATGTGTGTTGCCAAGGCTGGAGTTAGGCTTGCTAGGGCAAAACCCTAGGTTTTTGGCCTTGCCCAGGTAGTAGGGCTCACGTAGACCCAGGTTTTGGCCCTCTTCTGAGGTCATGTAGTAATTTTTGTTGTCAGAAAGGGGTCACAATGCCATGATGTTTGAGAACCCTTGGTTTAATAGATCCTCATGTGGGGTATCTTGGAAGATGACTATTTTATTGATGCCATTTTACTCAGGTTTTCCTTTTGAAAATGTAAAGCAGAAGAAAACCTGAGCTAAAACAGGCACCATCTATATTGGTAATGACATGGGTGAGTTTAAATAACTTGTTTATCTGGAACAAAAGGATACTTGAAAAATTAGAGGCTTCCTTCTGCTTCCCGTTTCTCTGCTAAATTGCTTTTTTTTTTCTTTTTAAAAATTTGAACTGAGGAATTAAGTTTTTGTGATTCAGCACCAACTTTACAAGTCTGGCACTAAGAAAACTGCCAGAGAGAGAGAGAGAGAAGCGTACCAAGCTGTCAGAACTATTCGCTCACAAGTTTATTTTTTTCTCCCTTCCCCCTTCCCAGTATCAACAGGTGCAACTGAAAGGGGCTTTCAAAGATGTCGAAAACTAACAAATCAAAATCTGGATCCCGCTCATCTCGTTCAAGATCTGGATCAAGATCACGATCTCGATCCTTTTCCAAATCCCGTTCCCGTTCCCGTTCTGTCTCACGATCAAGGAAACGCAGACTCAGGTAATGCTTGTGGTTTTGTTGTACCCTTTGTTTTCAAAGAGTTTTTCTTCTCTCTGCCCTGTTTGAGATGGTGGCTGCACTAACATGGTCTCTCCTGTGAAAACCTTTTTGTTGAATTCTAGAGTAGCTTAAGTATTCTAAGTCTCGGGTTACTGATTTTGTTTGTTCTCTGTTCTGTCTTTCAACATGCAGTTGCTAGGGTGTCTTGTGAACAGGTGTGTTTCTTGCAGTCTTCTGCACTTTTTAATAATCACTGATCATTTTAATGTAACATTCCCATATGTTTCTTATGTAAGTAGTTGCAGTTCTTCAGAACTCTTTGCTGCCAGTGAAGGAATGTGTTTTTGACCCAGACTAAGTGGAGGAAAGGATGCATTTAATTTTGTTGTTCAATAGATAACATCTGTAACTAAGGCTTTCTTGATCAATTTATTTTTTTTGTAAATTATTCATTTTGTTGATGAGATAAAAACAGAATGTTGACATTTTTGGCATCATTTCTTGTAAGAACTGACACATGGGAAAAACTGCTGAGAGACTTCCACAGTAAAACATGCTCTTTTTCATTTGTTAGGTTCTCTTTCCCCCTCCTCCCCCTCCCCCCCCGCTTTTTATTAATAGCAGCTTAAAAAAAGTCTTTGGGAAAAGTTATGTATTTCTTAGAGTTGAGTTCATGGGAGTCTCTTCCACAGTGTCATTCTAAGCCTCTGATGGGAAGGTGTGCGCGTGTGTCTGTTGGGGGTGAAAGGGTATTTTGTCATAAGGGAAGTCAATATCTCAATTCAGCAATGGTATCTATGGGCAGATCATATATTAATTAGTTAATCTCACTGCTGAGATCTACGTTGAGAAATTCTTGGTGTGCATGATAGTTGCTGCATCTCTGACTGCATCAATTTAAGACTAAATAAAAGGAAAGCATGGATTTCCATCACCTTGTAAGCTAGATGACTAGTTAGGCTTTTAAAATCTTGCAAGGCCACCACCATTTGGTAATGAACATCTCTATTCCATTTTTTCTGGATGTTATGATACCCACCTGCTTTTTCATAAATCTTAAATGCATCCTGAAGATCCTGAACATTGCTATACTTATAAACATGCAACCATGAATTATTTAAGATGCAAAACATAACAATTAAAATGTATTTGGAAAGAGGGAGGCCAGGACAAACCCAAATTGGAGATGCAGACTGAAATGGAACTGCATTCTTTGCAGGGAAGCAGAACTATTAGGAAGGGAGCAGTGTTAGTTTGGAGCATCTGGCCAAGTTTTAAGTGACTGTGCCAAACAGAAATCTAGATGCATTAAATCAAACAGGGCAAATCTCTCATCTTGTCCAAAAGCTTCAGAGGGGTAGCTGAGTTAGTTTGTAACTGGAAAAACTTGAAAAACAACTAATAGTCTAGCAGCACCTTAAAGACTAATAAAACATGTTGATGGTACCATGAGCTTTCGTGGGTACAACCCACTTCTTCAAATGCTTCCTCATCTTGTGTTGCTGCTTAAACAAATTGAATGTTATAAATACATTGATGAAAGAGAATTGAAATGGAGACGGTTAATATAGACAAGTTATCTTCTTGTAAGGCTTTTGCATACTCACTGAGGTATGTCTAGTGTGATGTCTTAAAGAGGATAGACTAGAAAATTGATCTGTTTAAGAAAAAATGGCATTTCACTTTCCACGTCTCTTGGTGGTTTAACTTGTGTTCTGTGCCCTTTTCCCTGTTCGCTTCTGGTTAATCTGTGCATGCTTAACTTTTGTTTGTAGGATCCAAGTATATTGCTGTTTCTTTTCACTTTTGACTGTTGTAAAAAGAGTGGAATAGCCAGAACTTGAGAACAATACATATTAAATTAACTGGCTACCCATGCATTCCAGAAGACTTCAAGAATAATGATCACTTCTGGCACATGTTTATTGTATTTTGCATACTGCATCCTTTTAAAATGATTTCTTGTAAACAGTCTCTGCAGATTTTGGAGTGAGATTTTCATGTTCCATGCCTCTATAAAATGACAGAATGGATTTTGGAAGCAGCATGCAACAGGTCCCTCGCTAGTAATTGGTAACAAATGCAGTAGGCGCCTGGGGATGGGAGCATGTGAATTCTGCTTAGTGCTTTCGGACCACTTCTTTTAATCAGTTCATTTTCACTGCCTGCATCTGCATGTGTCTTTCCTTCTTTCTTGTCTTGATACTATTTTCGAATGAGAAAGTATCTAAGGTAAGTTGCACTGTTTTCTTGTTTTGAATAAAGGAGCACGAATTTTATAAAGGGACAATTAAGCAATTTATATTCACACAAGATTCATACCAGATGTTATTAGTGATGTAACATAAGCCATTGCATGTTAAATATTTGTGTATTTGATATTTGAACAAAAGAGAATCTCTTTGTAACCCAATTTAAAAGTTAGATTTCACTTTAATCTTTAGAAACTTCAGTGGCAAAGTTGTTGTATACAGTTACTAATATTTGGGAGAGAGAGATGTGGCTGCTGATGCCTGTCAGGATAAGATATCTAAACACAGTTACTGCCAGAGTTAGCCAACTTTTTTAATGACTGGAATTTTATGAAACTAGTAAACAATGTTGTAATGTTTGCAGTAAATATGCATCATCAGAAGCAATGAGTGAGATCTGTTGCAAGGATTTTTGTGGAGTATGGAAGTTTTTACCATATTTTACAAGATAATAGTTGCTAATACCCTTTCCTCTCAGTACAACTTTGCAATTGTTCAGTATTAAGTAAATTAACCTGATTAATCCTGAGGCATGGTGTTACTTGTAAAACCAGAACAACTTCATTTTTTTAAATATTTGATCAAACTAAGAGGAATCCAATTATAACTGGAAAAACACCTTGTATTTCTCCAGCTCTCATTGGCACTTGCTGAAATGTTGTGCTTTTTAAATATGTAGCTGTAGATATGAGCACTCATTTTGTCCTGTATTCCATTCTCTTTCTCCTTCCACTAATAACCTGCATACTCATATCTGCCCCTTGAAAATCAAGCTGATGTGTGTTGATAAACAGTGCCATCATGTGGCATCAGATTAGGGATACATTAAATGTCTTTGGTAATCTTTTCTTGATACTGTTTTACTTGAGGGAGAGCAAGATGAAAAATCACAGCTATTCATGTATGGTTTGAGATTAGAAATGGAGAAGACAGTCATTGGTTTTTCTCTTCTGTGCTATTTTTTTCACTTAAGTGCTGAAGTGCATTTAATTTCTCTGGCAAGGAAAGGTTTTTCCTCTTGAAATCCTGTTACAAATTAAAAGCATATGAGATATTTGAGGGCTGCAAAGAAGGGAGAATTCAGTCAGTTACAAGGGACAGCACTGGCATTAT